AATGAACTTTATTTAATGTTCCATATATATATATATGTATATAAATCTATATTTAGAGCAACAATCGTCCAGTCATTCGACAAAATATACGTTGATTGTTTCAGTATTACATTAACTGCTAAACCTGTAAATTTTATTTAATTATTATTTAATAAAAATTTTTATTTAAATTTATTTAGACTGATACAATCATCACTGTAGCAAGTGTAAGTATAATAATATGTTTTCTATTTATTAAATGATTTAATCACCTTAACTCAATTTCTCATTGAAATATTTATAAAAATCGACATCTTAAAGTCTTTTCAAATTAATGTTTTCTTGATTTGCCTTTAAATTATTAATAAACCATTTTTATCTTTCATACATAATGGACAACTTCGTCAACTCGAATAGTCGCTAGTAATTACACTAGTATTATTCCAAATACTTCTCATCATACTACCACTCCACATACTCATCGTTCTACTACCATCCCACTCGGTAAAAAAAAGCTGTTCGACTGAACCTTTTTTTTCGATACCATTTTCAGAACTTTTTTAGTTCTAGTCAAAAAGTCTGAACTCTTTAAAGTTTCAGACTTTCGGACCAAAACCTTTTTAACTTCTAAACTTGTCGGCTAGAACTTTAAAAAAGGTTCTAAAAACGGTATCCAAATCTAGAACCTTAAAGAGTTCAAGACCTTCGCTAAAATCCTTAATGATTCCCTATGACACCATTTATTTTTTTTAGAGAGCACCCACTCATCGCTCTACTACCACTACACATACTCATCATTCTACTGCCACTCCACAGAGTCATCGTGCTACTACCACTCCACATGGTCATCGTGCTACTACCACTCCACATGGTCATCGTGCTACTGCCACTCCACATAGTCATCGTGCTACTGCCACTCCACATAGTCATCTTGCTACTGCCACTCCACATAGTCATCGTGCTACTACCACTCCACATGGTCATCGTGCTACTGCCACTCCACAGAGTCATCGTGCTACTGCCACTCCACAGAGTCATCGTGCTACTGCCACTCCACAGAGTCATCGTGCTACTACCACTCTACATGGTCATCGTGCTACTACCGCTCCACAGAGTCATCGTGCTACTACCACTCGACAGAGCCATCGTGCTACTAGCACTCCACATAATCATCGTGCTACTGCCACTCCACATAGTCATCGTGCTACTACCGCTCCACAGAGTCATCGTGCTACTACCACTCCACATAGCCATCGTGCTACTAGCACTCCACATAGTCATCGTGCTACTACCGCTCCACAGAGTCATCGTGCTACTACCACTCCACAGAGCCATCGTGCTACTACCACTCCACATAATCATCGTGCTACTACCGCTCCACAGAGGCATCGTGCTACTACCACTTCACATAATCATCGTGCTACTACCACTCCACAGAGTCATCGTGCTACTACTGCTCCACAGAGTTATCGTGCTACTGCCACTCCACATAGTCATCGTGCTACTACCACTCCACATAGTCATCGTGCTACTACCACTCCACAGAGTCATCGTGCTACTACTACTCCAAGTACTCATCTTTCTACTACCACTGCAAATACTTATCTTTCTACTATCACTTCAATTACTCATCTTTCTACTAGCACTCCAAGTACTCATCTTTCTACTACCAGTTCAAATACTTCTCCTTCGACTACTGTTACAGGGATGTCACATGTATACGTATTCTCTGTTTATTTTTTGTTATCCTCTATTCTTTCATCTTCTTTGATTCTTTAATTGGTCTCTTTGTTTTTCTTGTTCTTATGTATATATATATGAGTGAATTTCGCTGCCATTGTACGGTTTGACAAAAAAATTCGAAAAAAATAAAAGTGAACAGAGAAGTAGATGGATATGTGTATTGGATAGAGCATAGTTTGTTGTATATGAATCAAGTATTTTCCCGACTGTCATGTCTTCGGTTTGCAAATAAATCGAAATCTCTTAGTGTTTGAAAGGTCATCGGCTTCTTGACAAAAAAGAGTTGTTTAGGTGAAGCTTTTTAGTATTATTGTCCTATATCGATCAAATCATTTTGAAAAGTAGAATCACGCAGGCATAAAAACAACTTTGTTAGCATATTTGAATACATATACAACAGTATAGTGCAACTGTTATGGTTAAACAGGTGTACTTTTTCAGCAGCCCGTTGTGTGACTAAGTTATTTAGCGCATGATTTTGCGATAACTATGGGAAATAAAATCATCATCAATATCAATACTTATGGCAAAAAAAAGAAACTAGGTTAACTAAGAATAAATACATGCGCTAACTACACATATTGTTTCATCTGCAAAATTGTTCTTTATGAGAATAAAGATATTCTGAATAAAAATGCGAAAATCTAAAAATTTATTTTTATCAATGTTTCTGATTGATCTGAGTTGCTTTTTATAAATACTTGTCCATTTGGTCTAGCAATAATTTCATGAAACTTCGATGTGCCTTTAATTGTTTTTAATAATGGAATAAGTCTCTTCACCGAATCAATGTCTTCTTTCTGATACATATAAAGCCGAATATTTGTAGAAATTTGTATTTTATTCATCAGATCGTCGGCACCTTTAAACGACTGATCTGGATTTAATCGAATCACATTATCAAATAATCTTTTAATCGTAGCACCAATCGCATCAGGTATCCCTTTACCGTGGCCACTAGCGAGAAACAACCATCTCACTGTAATTTTTCTCTTGGTAGCATAATGTTTTAAAAAGAAAATAGTGGTTTTGTTTCGATATTGACTTGATGGAGAATCAGATATGATATTTAAATCAGTAATTTGTCTGTTCTCTTGTCCACTCAACAGTTCTTCTAATAAACCACGAATGGCTGCCCGTGTGCTTTCAAATAAATGACGTGTGTCATCCGACAAACATCCAAAGCTGAAACAACTGTCTTTGCTCCAAATATATCCAGTAGCTATAGAAATATGCTGTTCGAAATAGTAAGCAGCTAAAAAGAAACAAAAATCTGAACATCTTTAAGGAGCAATAACTAAATTTTCATCAAAACTCACAGCGTTCCTCTCTGGCTTGCTTTAAATTGTAATTTTCAGACCAGTCGACTTGCATAGTGATTACATTTTCATCTATTAATGCTGATTGACGAAGTAATTTAGCACCTTTAAATTGAGCATGAACCAGTTGCAAATGTTCTTCAAGTTTCTAAATATTAAATACTCAATGACAACATATTCTTTCCACTTCATTTTGTTTCTCTTTGGATATACTCACAGCTATTTCATCAATAAGTTTCGAGCAAAATACACCAAATTCATTTGTCATAGTTTTTTTCGTTGAAATAAGACCACTACTTCTGTGACT